GTGTGCATAAAATAAAGTTTAATGTGGGGGAGAGTCACTGTGTGACCAGGCTACACAGCCAAGGACCTAAAAGCATGTTTGAAAGGACACACATGCAGAAAGGTCAGAGCAGCAGTGCTCTGATAACCAAGAAGCAGAAGCCAGCCAGTGCTCAACAGTTGAGCATGCTACATCCATATAATGGGGTATCATTCATCAACTAAAAAGAAATTATGGGCCATAAAGATGGCTCAGCAAGTAGAAGCGCTTGTACACAATGCTGGCGACTTGACTTGGATCCCTGGCTACCACAAAGTGGCAAGGCAGGATCAACTCTCGGAAATTATCCTTTAACCAAGCTGCTGAGACACAAACCAGGTTAAGTGGCTGTCAGAGTCAAGAGTGAGGTGGGGAAAAGGTAGGGTGCTAATGCACATGGAGTTTCTTTAAGGGTATGAAAATATTCTGGAATTTGATGGCGTGATGGATGTATAGATCTTCCAAACATAGATCAAAGGCCATTGGCATGTGAACTTTTAGCGGATGAAATGAATGCCAGTGAACTTATCTCAATAGAACGGATGTTTTTAAAAGAGACATTGTTCACTGAAACTTCATCTAAAGTGAGGATGAAATAGATCAGAAATGAGACAAATCTATGGGAAGTTTGGCACATAAACTCAATTTTATTCATGTGCACAATTCCATATAGAGGCATCTGAAAAATCTGTATGACCATGTATAATATGGGTACATGGAGATATGGTATCTGTGCCAAAACATTTGTTAGAAGGCAAAGAAGCATGGCACTTGGAGTCCTGTTTTAAGTAGAGCGGTAGACACTTATAGCATGAGTTTAAGTTCAGGAAAACATCTCTTGCCCCCCAACATTACTTTCTTAGAGAACCACATTACTCAGAATTAAATCATCCCTTCCTTCCCCAGGGAACTGTCAAAAGCCAGATGCTATAAGCCTTTATATACACAGCATTGTGCATGCTTTGATATGGTCTGGATCTTATGTGTCCCCCCCCCCCAAAAAAAAATCTCATGTGTTGAAAGCTTGGTCACCAGTGCCATTTAGTGGTGGGATTTGGGGAGTGACAGGACCATGACAACCTTGACCTCATGACTGATCCATTCATGGATTCCTAGCTTAGACTGCTCCTGGGGGGGGGGGGTGGAAGGTTTTTGAGGTGGGGCCTGCTGGAGGAAGTGGGTCTTAGGAGGCATGCCTTGAAGGGTATATTTCGCACCTGGCCCTTTATTTTCCAGCTCTGCCTCTCTTCCTGTTTCCGAGCTTTGGTTTGCCACATGATCCCTGCCTCGATGATCTGCTTCCTACACACCCAGGAACACAGATGGACTAAGCCCTCTGAAACCATGAGCCAAAGAAATACTTCTTCCCTTCAGCTTGTTTACCTCAGCTTTTCCGTCCCATTGACAGAGAGCAGACTGGAACACGCTGTGATGTGATGGAATAACAAAAGGAATGGGCAGCCTTGGCTGGTGTGTGCCAACACAAGAAACCAGGGGGAAATCAAAGCCCCAAACCACAGTCTTGTTGCAGTGTGATTTGCTCATAAGTCTTGCTCTTAATAGTCTTGCTGGAAAATTCCCCAAAGCAAAGTGGTAACAAACATAGGAATCCCTTTCCTGGGGACCTCGTCCTCATATGTCCAAGAGTTTTAAGGTCTGTTCCATTGGAGGTCCTGACAAGTCCTTACTCTCTAAAGGTCCCTCTGAGCCTACTAGCCACTGATGTCCCAAACTCTGCCTGGAAAGACATCTGTGGACAATTGAAAATAATTACATTGTTAGTCATCAACAGTGAGAGACGTTAAACAGATGGGCAACTACCAGAGCCTCTTGGGCTTTAATTTAAAAATTACGGCTCAATCTGATTAGCAAGCAGCAATAATATTCAACACTCATGTCCAATGGACTCTTGCCCACTCATCAGTAGTGTGTAATCACAGTGGAGAAAGCGGATCTCATTTATTTTGCCATCTCACATACCTCCTGAGGGAAAGTCAAGGTGGAAATAAATTGTGATTTGGTACCTGCTTTGTCTGCACCTCTAACCAGGAGAATCACTCCTGAAAGCCCCTGAGCAACTAGACATGATGTTAATTGCTTATTTGGCTGACCTTTATTTTGTAAGTAAATTGGGAACACACGACTTCAGACTCTAAGAATTGGTTTTAAATTGGTATTTACTCATTGTACATGACTGCAAGATTCTCCATTAAAGGCTCTCTGGGAAACCATGCATGTTATTTGTTATCTACTAGAAGAGCATGACTTTGCCTTTGGCTCTGTTTAGTGGTACAAGAAACAACACAGACCACCAGAGATCTGGGAGAAAACAGAAGTGTATTCTAAGCACAAGAGAAGAAAATCATGGGCCAGAAAGAACAAGTGATTTCAAGGAATTTGAGTCAGTAGAGGTGTCAAAGAACTACCAAAGACTTGCAGAAGGTATCAAACTGTCTTTATAGTCAAGATAGACAGACAGACAGACAGACATTCTACCTACATTGATCACTAAAATGTTTCTCATTGAAATGGTTCTTTAACAGTACAGTCAAATTACAGTCATGAACAGCCTGTATTCTCTGCACAGCCGATATGGAGTCTGTGGAAACATTCTTCTCCCATGGCCTCTACTGTCAGAGCCCTTGCGTTCCCTGGCTTAGATGAACTTTGTCTGAAGCTCGAGACAACAGCTGCCGAGACAGAAAGTTTATCACAGCTGGGGTTCCACAGCAGTTACAACTTTGCCCCACCAGCTCCACCTTCAAACAATTTCTTGAGCGTATTTTCTCTGCATGGAAAATCATTTGTGGGTTTGCTTCTCAAATCCATACCCTCACACTGAAGAATGGAGCAATCCTAGCACACCAGAAAGAAATGTGGAGACAAAGGTCTTAGAGGGATTTGAGGATGGGGACGGGCGGGAAGGCAAGGGCTGTGCTTGCTGATATCAGCATTGCCTGTGTCCTGGTTCCATTTCTGTTGCTGTGACAAATACGCTAATCAAAATCAGCTTTGAGAAAAAAGGGTTTACTTGGCTTATAACTCCAGGTTACGGTTCAAAGAGCTGAGAATGTTCTGGACATTCTAGGTAAAACTGGCAGATGTTTCCTTGGAATAACTTCACTAAAACAAGACTCTATAGTTGACTTTAAAGATCTAACCAAATGAAAAGCTTTCACCAAGATGTCTGCTGGAGAAGACAAATACAGAAACAGCAAGAAAATTCCAGAAGCTGTAAAACAACAAAAGAGTGGACCATCCTTAGTGATGGTGGTTCCTAGTGTACTTCCTTGGGGGTAGTGGTGATATTCCTAAAGGTTTCTGCACAAGTGCATTCTGGGGTCCTACTGCAGACCCACTGAATTAGAAACTCTATTGCAGAGCCCAGCAATGTGGAGCTCTACAAGTCCTCTATGCAATAAGGCACCCTGAGAAAGCTGGTCAGAGCTGGGAGTTGAGACGCATTGAAAAGCAGCCCCTTTCCCCAAACACTCAAGGATGAAAGTGATGGGTAACTTCAGAAGAAGAGACTCAAGAACTAAAATGATAATAATTGATTAGAAAGATTTAGAAAATGGCTAGGTCCCAAGACCCTCTTCCTGGGACCTGCAGGCACAGAACAGATGCATTTCTGCCCTGCTGAACTATGCATTACATAACATCTCCATTGGATGGAAGTCAGTTGGTGTTAACTTATGGAAAGAGAAATGTTAGTTTTGCTTTCAAAGCAAATATCAAGCATACGGAAGTAGGGATGGACTCTCAGGATAGACAGTCATTAAACCAATGTGTAAAGGATCTGTTCTGGCTTTGACAGTCTATAATCCACTGTCTAACCGTGGCAGGAGCTTCCTCAGTTCTACATAGGCTAATGCTAGATCTTTTGAACACAAGTATTCTGTAGTTATATACCGAATTAAAGTGAAGAAGAATCCCCCCAAATGCAAGAAACATAGCACTAACTGTAAGTATTGTCTTCTTATTCTAACAGATGGAATGACCTCATTTTAGATATTTGTTATCTGGAATATATTCATACTGTGTATATGTATGTGTCTGTGTAAATATATGAGTATTTAACTCTATTCAAGTTATTTCAACAAATATATCGAAAGCGTCTACTAAGTGTACAACTACAGAGTGTTCAGAATATTGCATGATCACTTGTGAACTGAGTTTATTGAAATACTTCAGAGGCTCCAGGAAGCATACCTGGTTATAATTTTCCATATGATCTTCACTTCTTATGATTTTTCAATTTCACTTTTGAAATATCCCTGTTGAAAAGTTAAGGTCTGCCACAGGATAACAACTAGGTTAATTTTCCATGTCAAATCTGATTAGTTGGCAATGTCTGCTGCAGTGCTCCAATGGCTACCAAGCTCAGTTCCAACTGAGCAAGAATGTTGTGATCACTAATAAGCAATGTTTCCCTAAGAAAGGGCACATTCTTCATATTTGCCTCTATGCTGCTGCTATAACCCAGAGGCAAAATGGCCTCCCTTTGGTCTTTTGAAAGTAAATGCTGGACTCCAGGTTAAAAGCTTAATTCTTCTCATACTGGCTTCAAACAGATAAAGGATTCATTGGGTACCAGCTCAGTGTGTCATAAAAAAAAATTGGGAAAAAAAAAGAGCTCAGATCCATCCTTACAGTGTAGAGAGAACTCACGCATTTCACAATGTGAAAGGTCAAGAAGTTCTTGCCTTTAATTTCAAGGAGGTTCTGCATAACTGTTGTTTAGTGCAGATTCTTCTGGTCCTTTTGTGGCCAACTTGAAGTTTCCTCCATATCATACCCATCAGAGAAGAGTTCTAGCGTCATGGCCTGGAATGGATCCTTCCAGCCATTCTCAAGGCTGGAACCTAGTTCGTCCACTGCAGTGTTCCGAGCAGTCAATGCACAGCACACAGGTGCCAGCCCCCACTAGCACACCAAACAAAGCCCCAGTGCCTCGATACAGCAAACAGCTCAACACTTACTTCCCATTATCCTGCGCACAGTTGGGCCCTCCGCAGTCATTTCCCTCACAATTTCATTGTCGTCCTCGTTGGCATCCAGCCAGCGATTGCAGTTGAAATTATACTTATCCTTATTCAGAGTATTCATCAGGGTCATCTGCAAGGAGATAGCCCTGAAGTAAGCAGGTGGGCCCAGCAGAGATTTTCACCGACGGCCTGGAGTCCTCATTCTGCTCTCTAACTGTGTGTGTGTTCCTTTTTTATTTTATCTTATTTTGTTTCTTCAACACAGGGTTTCTCTATGTCTCCTTGGCTGTCCTAGAACTCACTTTGTAGACCAGATTAACCTCAAACTTAGAGATCAGCCTGGCTCTGCCTCCCAGTGCTGGGATCAAAGGCGTGTGCCCCCACGCCAGGCCTGCTTTCTCATCCTAGGGAGACCACGCCATCTCTTGACTCTTGAAGAAGGCAGGTGATCAGATTGCTTTTTCTTTTCCTGGTCTCCTAGAAGCCTACACTAACCTAACATCTGAAAGACAGGACAGGATGCAAACCCCATAGACACCTGAGCATTTTCTCTGTCTACTTTGGAAGGACTCTCCCTACCTGTTCCTATCAAAACATACGGCCCATGTCCACTCTTCCCACCTCCAATCCTAACAAATGAGAGGCAAATATATATGATGCGATCATGAAAGGGGGTAGATCTGACTCCTCGGAACACCTCAAGGAATACCTTACCTTTTCTAAATGCCATCCAGAGCCAGGGTTCTGCCTATCATGCCATGCCCGAATCTTATAAAACCTGCCAAGATCTGGAAGCTCCATCTACAAGGAGAAATTAAAAGGTCAGTGTTGACACAGTCATGGAAGTGTGTCTGTCTTCACAGCTGACCTCAGGCAGGTGGATACTCCTTTGGGCTGCTTTTTCCTGGTAAGGATGGGTTTGCTCCTAGCCACACTCAAACACTACATTCTCTCATGTCCCTGGTAACCAGTGGCTCAAGGGACCAAGACGGCTATGTGAAACTAATGTTCAGCCTGGGCTGGTGAAACTGAACAAAAATAACTGACCCACAGTAGGATTCAGCCAAGAGATCTTCCAATAACAAAATTCGTACGGCAGCCTGCAAATTAGCACAGGGCCATAGCCCAGGGAGTCTACTGGGCACCGAGACAGACAAAAAGATCAATACATCAGCCCTGCCCTTTCCCTGGGGGCCCAAGTCTGCCAGAGAAGACAAACACATAAAGAGAAATGAACTTGGTGGTGGAATAGAGGTGTCAGTGGGGTGCTCGGAAAGGACAGCCGCTGATTACAGGTTCTTCCCCTCAAAGGTTGGTAGCACTTCTGACTCGCTCTGCGCACCAACTGCAAAGCTTAAAGCTGCGTTTTTCTTTCAAATGCTCCAAAATTCATGTTTTGCCTTAAATGCTGTCCTCACGCCCGAATACAGCCAGGCTGAGCAACCTAAATGTGCTCTGGGCCTCTGAGCCCACAACTCCCCCGTTCACCCCACTCCTGAGTGCTCCAAGAATTCCACACTGCTCTGTCCCCTAGACGTCACCCTAGACTATTTCAGATGTAAGGCCAAATATAAACTGTATTTCTTTCAACAAATTCCCTATAAATCATCAAGTTTGTCACTGCTGTTGGAGCCCTAACTCTCCAATGTACCTTTTGTCTTTAAACTTGGTCTAAAATCTGACGTAGAGAACTGGAATGTCCAGTACTTCCTCCAACTCTTTTTCCCATCTCACTCCCATCCGTCCCATTTCCTTCCTACCCTGAACTTCTCAATGACGCCTGGTTTGAACCATTTGTTGTTGGGGTTCAGAAGAATCTCATCTGTCCTCCCCTTCTGCCCATAGATCTGGATGAAGATAGGTGAGTTGGTGCCAGCTTTCTTCAGATCAGTCGTCCAGACCCAAAGGGACCAAGGAAACTCTACAACACAGGTCAAGGGGCATCATAAATTCCAAGAGCTAATCGGGGGAAGAAAGAGGCGGGGGTGGTGGGAAAATCAAGTGATCAGGATGTAAGTTTACACACAACTGTGTCCACTCTTTGCACCCATTAAAAAAGTGCCGAATATGGAGCTAAGAATCCTCTGTGGTTAAAAGTCGGGCCTGTCAATGTCTTAAGACTTTCTGCGTTTTAGCACTGGGGGAAGAGTTGACCCCACCATCCTGTGTCCAGTGCCTTAGGGGTTCCCTGAGAGAATCACTCAGTTTAACCCCGTGTCCATTGCAACAGCTCCTTCAGTTTGGGACACTGGAGTCACCTCCTCAACAGGGCATGGCCTGTCCTTTGACGAACTGAGCTCCTGTCTGGGAGGTCCCCACATGCCAGTCTCTTCAAACTTACTTTTCAGCCTCTTCTTCCTCAGAGATACCATCTCATAGAGCTGGCGCTCGATCAGTCCATCTGCTCTCTTCTCATCCAGCCAGTTGCTGCAGGGGAAAGTCTGCTGGATGCCGGTGAAGGGGCACAGGACCACTACCTAGGAAGGCAGACAGCAAGTGTCTCCATAATAGGTCCACTGACGGGACCCACCCAGTGCTCAGCAGCCTCCACAGCCCCAACTACACAGGTGTCTGTGTTAGGACCTTCAAGGAATGGCATTTTCCTTGTCACCTTTCTCACCAAATCCTGATGAAATTTTTGCAGATTAAAAACATAATTTTTTTAAATTATTATTTTAAGAAGTCTTTCATGGCAGCTTCCATCCATCCTCCAATCCCACTAGCTCAGATACCAAATCCTCTCTTCCATACATTGCATCCTTTTTGGACAGCATATGTCTTCATGTCCATCATAAAATCTGTTGATCTGAGCCAAATGGCCTATTCAGCCCAATTAATTTTTGCAGGAAAAGGGTGAAGCACATAAAAGCTAACCAGTTCCTCTCTGGAGTGCAATATGGAGCCAGATGCCTTCCCCATAGACTTCATTTCTATGAACTTTTGTCTCCTAACGGTTGCCACCCACACTGAGTTTATGGTTTAGAGCATGGAGCCCTGCCCTCTTTAGCCACTCACTAAGGTTGTCTGGAGAAATGGTCCCGACACACTACCAGAACTCTCTAGGCAAAGAAGACATTACTCTCAAGTTTCTAGATGCGCAGTTTTATCTTCTTTTTAACCTGGAAACTGATCTGAGCTTCCTCCTGCTCCAGCATCTTTACTAATTATCATTTCATCAGATCCTTGCTGTTTGTTCTTTAAAGGGATTGCTGTTGATTGCACCTTCCTCAGCGTGACCCTTAGCCCTCAGGTTAGACAATGATAAGGAGTCAGTTCACCAGGAAGGAGGCCTATGCCTAACAACATGCCTCAAACCACACCCAGAAAAGACAGCTGATTCTAAAAAAAGAAACTGTAATGTCTGCTACTGAGGTGGGAAATTTCAAAAGACCTTTCTTAGCAATAAATAGATCAAGCAAGTAAACAAACAAAAGGAAATATCACCAAGGAAATAGAAGATTCACAGTCAAAGGTAATACAATTGAATAAACAAAACCAAAATATTAAATTCAGCTGTTAGTATGCAAACACATTGTGAGTGTTCTCCATAGTGTTGAAAAGGTACATCATAAAGAACGTATTTCATGAGTAAAATCATATTAAAGTATGCTTTGAAAAGATGATTTTAATAAAATAGTATTTCTACCATTAAAGCCAATGAAAAGAAAGGAAACTTGAGTGACAATGTCACTTGCATAGAAAAATTTCACATTAAATTATAAGGACATGTAAAATTGTAATCCGCCATCACCCAGGTTAGCTGAAAGAAGCAACGCAGCGTTGGCTAAGCATCAGAAAGTGCAGTCAGCCGGTGCACGGTGTCTCAACCTAACAAACAAGGAA